TATTAGTATTAATATTAATATTAGTATTAGTATTAGTATTAGTATTAGTATTAGTATTGGTATTAGTATTATTATTAATATTAATATATATCAGTATCAGTATCAATATGTGTATTAGTACGAGTTTCAGTACGAGTATTGATATAGTATTAGTATCAATATTAGTATTAATATTAATATTAGTATCAGTATTAAAATTAGTATTGGTATTAGTATTGGTATTAGTATTGGTATTAGTATTAGTGTTAGTATTAGTATTAGTATTCGTATTAGTATGAGTATTAGTATTAGTATTTGTAGGATGACAATTAGTAATAGTATTAATATTTGTAGGATTACGATTAGCAATAGTATTAGTATTAGTCTAAGTATTAGAATTAGTGTTAGTATTAGTATTAGTATTAGTATTAGTATTAGTGTTAGTATTAGTATTAGTATTAGTATTAGTATTAGTATTAGTATCGGTATCAGTATTCGTATCAGCATTATTATGAGTATTCGAATCAATATTAGTATCAGTATTAGTATTAGTTTAGTATTAGTATTAGTATTAGTATTAGTATTAATATTAGTATCAATAATAGTATCGATATTAGTTTCAATGTTAGTATCAGTATTAGTATCGATATTAGTATCAGTATTAGTATAAGCATTGGTATCAGTATTGGTAGTGGCGTATATATCATATTTCTTTTGAAATATTTAGAAGTTGCATTGTTGTTTGAGTAGTGTGCTTCACTAATTGACCGTTAGTGATAAACTTGCAGGTTATTTGAATATCAATTGTGTTACTCCTCTGCTACCGTCTTTGTTGTTAAGTAAGTTGTTTTGCAGAAAATTCAAATGGTGTAGTAGATTGCATTCCATCAAATAGAGTTATATCATATGTTTTAAATGATTACACTTAATTTCCATATCGTGTTTTGTGCGCTTCATGTTTTCTTTTTTGTAATATTTAATTGAATTTCATTTGTTACAACCCTGAATTAAGAGATACATTTTATGGTTTTTTTTATTTTCTTCTATTTTGGTTTACTTAAATTGATGTTGTTATAAACAGATAGTCGTTTACATATTGTTATAAACAGATAGTCATTTACATAATGTTATATTTCTCAATTTGAAGCTGATCTCCGTGCAACGCACGAGTGAAATACTAGTTTATCCTTATGGTTTAATACTTTAATTGATACAAGAAAATTGTAGTTAATATTCTACAATTTTAGCCCAATTGAAAACGTGGCTTATCAAATGGACCAACGGCTCAAAACTAGTCGGGCTATGCATTATTAAATTCAGTGGGCCCAATTTAGAAATCCGAGTTTTGGTTATCCTTTTTCTTTTACCAAAAAAAAAAAGTGAGAGAATATATTATATAATTCATATTTATGAAGGAAATAATAATTTATTTTATTGGAATGAAATCCTTACTTTATCGTATAAATAATATATCCAGTAACTTTGAATTTATTATTATCATTCTTTCTATTGAAATTATTATAATTTTTTTAGGGTAAATTTCTTTTTCCCTCTTATAATTTGGCTCGTATCACTTTACCCCTTCTACTTTCGATTGCATCGATTGATCCCCTTGGACTTAAAAAATTGGCTCAATATGGTCCTCGATGTTAGTTGTTAGAACATTTGATCTTAACTACGTTTGATCTAAGCTCTGAAATTACAAAAAACGCCGTCTCTTTCAATTTAAATAATTATTTAAAAAACACAAAAAAATAAAATAATAAAAAATTCAATATAACTAGAAAACATAATCCAAGACGCCAACCACAATTGTTTTTTTGTTTTAATAATTATTTAAAATGGGAGGGGTGGTTTTTTTTTTTGTAATTTTAAGATTTATACCAGACGGTGTTAAGGTCAAAAGTCTGAGAACTAATAACGAGGGCCACATTGAGACATTTTTTTAAGTAAAGGGGGTAAATCGATGCAATCGAAAGTAGCCCCCGGGTAAAGTCATATTGAATCAAAGTATAAGGGGTAAAATTGAAATTTACCTTTCTTTTTAGGCTGCAGATATTTGCAAGACGAAAATTACTAAGTGCAAGACCTTACTTCATGCAAGACCAAAATATAAATAAATTTACTAAGATCAAGACTGGAAATTACAAATATAACCCCAATAATAATTTAGATATTATTAATTTAAATAAAGTTAATTGCTATTGCAAGACCAAAAAAAAATACAAAAAAAAGAATAAAAAAAAAGAAAAAATAGAGGGAACTCACTCACCCAACAAAACACCAACATCTTCTTCTTCACCCTCATTTTACACATTTTTTTCCACAAAAAAATCTTTCATATTCTCCAAAACCCTTATCACATAAAACCCTCAAATCTTACTAAAACTTGAAAAGAAGGACATTATGGATACACAAGACATAAATATGGAGGATTCTAAGGTCGAAGAACACAAAGAGGTAAGAAATATTGTACTTTGTGATCGTTTTTCTCGTTTTTCGCACCTCATTTCACGTACAAAAAAATCGACATGTACAGGTCGAAATATCAGCTTTATATCGACACTGCAGTGTCGAAAATGTCAAAATAATTCGACACTCATTAACTGTCGAATTATATTGAAATTATCGACATTCTGGTGTCGATATTAAGCGGATATTTCGACGCCAGTGTGTCGAAAATTTTCCAAAAAAACGACAAGTACAGGTCGATTTTTGTAAAACCGCAACTCCTTCAACAATAGTGCTACAATCGAACCCTAGAATCATCAACTATGTTCTAAAACGACTTGAATTCATTATTCTAACAATAAAATCATGTTTATCACATTTATTTCTCAAAAAAAGTTAATTCAAAAAGTAATTTTTACTTGTTTTTCGTGAGATTGTTGTGGCGGGGTTGGGGCAACAACGGAGTTCAACGGCGACGGGCGACGGCGGTGGACTTCAACGGCGACGGCGACGACGACGACGGGGCGGCGGGCGACGGGGCGACGAACGGTTTTTTGCTGCATTTGATTTTTTTTGTTTTCTTCAATCTTTCCTCCTCGTTTTGATTTTGTCAATTCAATTTCTTTTTTCCTTTTGTTTTATTATTATTTTTTTAAAATTGGTCTTGCAAAAGAAAATTAATAAAATAATTTTTTTTGTTTGTATTTTATTAAGGTTATTATAGTCTTTTTATACTGAATTTAATAAAAAAAATTAAATTGGTCTTGCACTAAGTAAATTTCGTCTTGCAAATAGTCGCTGCCTTGTTTTTATTGTGAGTTGTGACTGAGTTCAACAATTTACCCGACCCGTAAACGCTATCCAATTTCACCCAAGTATAAATACTTTATTTAAACACTTGCCCATTTGACATCCATTTTACCGAAGAAGCCCTTCTCCCCAACCCACCACCCCCTCCATTTTTCTCAGTCATGGCGTTTCCGTACATGGAGGCAGTCGTTGGTATGTATATTCCTCCGTATTTTTATGCTCTTCGTATACATCACTGCATAATTAATATTAGAACCGTATGTGTAATTTAATATTTGTGTTTTTTTTTTCTTCCCGATTTTCTGTGAATTGTGAACTGAATGAGTTGGTGGTTTCTGTATGTGTATCGCGATTCATTTGTTTGCGATTCAGTGATTGAACTTTGAATTCCTCGGAGTCGTATTTTTTGAGTTTCGTTCGGTTGTTTGGTTTTGCGGTGGTGGTTGTATACGGGACTGCGTGTTAGGGTTTTGCATAAATTTGTTCTTTCAATTTGAATGCCAGAGGATTTATTCATTGAATTGTTGTTTGTTGTATGCCTTTCATCTGTGTATCTATGTATTTTGATGTTTCACATGTGTATTAGTATATGACTGTTGATGTACATCTAGGGATGGGCATTTTTTTTGCGAGTGAATGAGTTGTTGGTTTTTTTTAATGTGATATAGTATTCGGGATTTAGTGATTTCCCTTCTTATCGGAGTGTTAAGTTTTCTAGTTCTTTTAGGTTTGTTGGGTGTGAACTTGAAATGGATGATGGGGATTTTGTATATACTGTATGCAATTGATATTAGCGTCACTCGGTTCTATGACCTTTTGTTCAATCGATTAAATTTCCTATAGTATAAAAAATAGTCGATAGTAATTGGTATGAGTGTGCAAATATGAGACAGATTACGACAGTGAGTTTTCCCATCACATTCAATACGATGTTGGGGTACTGTGGTCTGAGCTACATATATTAACTGAATGTTAGAATTTTTTTTGCTTCAAGAAAATGATGTTAATCTGTGATTTTTTGGGGAAACTGTCCCACTTTTTCTATATTTCAGTAAATTCCTCCTAAATGACAGTGTAGCTGCCTTTGTAAATAGCAAATACACTGTCATATTTTGTCTCTTGGCTGCCCTTTTTATCGTTTCTAATTTGGCTTTCATATGATCCAGGTGTTATGATACTAGTGTATATTTTCGAGTGTTATCTTGATAAGCGGCAGCATGCTGCCCTGAAGTTGCCAACTCTTCCAAAACCATTGGTAGGAGTAATCAGTCAAGAAAAATTTGAAAAATCGCGTGCTTATAGTCTTGACAAAAGGTTTGAGCAGTCATTCATTTTTCATGTGAAAACTTATGATACCGTTGCATATCGTTTTTTCAACTAATCAGTTGTGCCTTGTTATTTCGTCTTCTATTTCATTCAGCAATTTCCATTTTGTCCACGAACTTGTAACCGTACTTATGGACTCTGTCATTTTGTACTTTGGGATATTGCCATGGTTTTGGAAGGTGAGTCCTTATATATGAATATTGTATCCTTGTTTATTTCTCTGCCACCTGCAGTTAGCTTATTTTCTTCTTTCTATCTTTTCAGAGATCTGGAGAGTTTTTGGGTTCTGCTGGCTTCAATGCAGAAAATGAGATATTACACACACTTGCATTTTTAGCTGGCGTTATGTTTTGGTCACAGGTGCATATAGTTCCATGTAGTTTCTTTGGATGATTAATAGACGGTCATTGGAAGGAGTTGGTATCAGTTTATTGATCTCCATAATCTATCATTACATGTTCTATAACTTGTGTTTCCTCCACCTTAACATTTATGGCAGTTGCATTATCATGCATTTGTCTAACTATTTTATTTGAAACCCCTATGCAGATAACTGACTTGCCATTTTCCTTGTACTCCACTTTCGTCATTGAGGCTCGGCATGGATTCAACAAGGTATTTTATTTACTTTGAGTATTGACCATATCTGCTCGCACACATCATATCAATTAGGTATTTCATTTTTCATCAGACGTGTCTTTAATTTTGTCTTTATTCATTTTACATTGTTGTTCATGAACTTTTCTTTCTTTCTACAGCAAACGGTATGGTTGTTCTTTAGGGACATGATCAAAGGAATTGCCCTAACTATAGTGATTGGTCCACCTATTTTAGCTGCTATAATCATTATAGTTCAGGTACTTTTATCTAAAGCGTATACATGATAATTGTAAGGATTATAACAATAACTTATTGCTACATGTAATGTCTTGAATTTTTTTAGTCTGTGGCTGTCTCTATCTCTGTTTCTCTCCTCAGAACATTCCAGAAAGATAACCATGTAATGAACTGTATCTATCAACATTGATTAAGTATTTGAATGCAGAAAGGAGGTCCATACTTGGCCATATATCTCTGGGCGTTTATGCTTATCATCTCCCTTGTGATGATGACTATTTATCCAGTTCTGATTGCCCCACTTTTTAACAAATTCACTCCTGTAAGTAGTGGTTATGCTTCTAAGATAATATTATGTCATAATATTGCTCTCTCAATGTTCACACGCCAAATAGAATGTAAGTTACTACTTTGACCCTATTTTTTTTCAAAATTTTGATAAATAAACAGCTTCCGGAGGGTGATCTTAGGTCCAAAATTGAGAATCTTGCTTCGTCTCTCAATTTTCCTTTAAAGAAGTTGTTTGTTGTTGATGGATCAACAAGATCGAGCCATAGCAATGTGAGTAGCTTTTGTTTTTCACTTCTTCTACTTGCTTTTTTTTTTTTCTGATATCAATTATACACATTTTGAAGTAAATTCTCCTCCAATCTTTACATAGCAATGATTTGGTAAAAACAAAAAATTGTCCCGCCGGTTGTTAATAGTTGGCTCTTAAATTGTTGAAATGTTGTGTGGTTTAGGTAGGAGTAGAAGGGGAACCTATGGTTATATTTTTAATGAAGGAACACTGAGGTTTTGTCATTTAATGGCTGGAGAGTGGACACAATAGTTGTTTAAATCATAGTTTGAGAGAAAATCGGAAAGCTATGCAAAACCGAAAATTGAGGTTGGGATTGGAAGTTACGGATAGTGATCTGAGATAATGCATTAGCCTTACTATCTTTGTTTTTAATCACTTGAGGCATACCCTTTTGCACCCCACTCTCTTCATCGTGTACATTCACAAGGACTTATCTTGTGTCAAAATTTTCTGCAGGCATACATGTATGGATTTTTTAAGAACAAAAGAATTGTCCTCTACGACACATTAATACAACAGGTATGGAAGTTTTATTTGAAGAAAAAGTTGTTTTTTGTTTCAATAAAATTTATATGTGCTTGATGTAAGTTCCATTAGAAATTAAGAGTTTATATGGTGACAATTTAGGGCTGTTTTAGAAATACGTTTACTAGCATGTTATATAGACCCTGCAGATCATGTTAATATAGTGAAGCAGATGTGATTTTTTTTTAGTATATCTCTTGGAGTAGATGTACGAGTTCATCTCTTCTTCAAGGTCCTTTTTGGGAATCTTTTTGTGACGAAGCAGGTCAATGAGACCAGATTCGTGAAATGCTCATAGAGTTACTTCATGATACAATGCAAGCTAGAATTCTGTCATGGATATTTTATTTAAGTCTTTCTGTTTGTGGGTGTTAAGTGTCCTTTTTGCCTTAGTAAACTCTTTTTTTTTTCTTTTTTTTTTCTCTATTTCTTTTAAGTTGTTCTTCACTTATCTAATCAGCTATTTAAAAAATTCAATGTAGTGCAAAAACGAGGAAGAAGTTGTTGCTGTTATTGCCCATGAACTGGGTCACTGGAAGCTTAACCATACAATGTACTCCTTCATTGCTGTTCAGGTATATCAGCAGTTCTACATTAAGTAAATATTTAATGTGTTAAACATGCCCGATCAGAACGATTATCCCTTGATAGTCATTTTTTGTCTATCGTTCTCTTGGATTAGGTTTTCTTTTCTGATGTTTGACGTATTTTTGAAAAATTAAGTTTGGTCAGCACAAATGAATGCCAATTTGTGTTTTTTTTTTTTTTTTTTTTTTTTTTCCTTCGAGACTTGATTATAAGTATTATCTTTAATGTTCCTTATGCTGCTATACAAGTTATTTGTTAAATTTGTACGGTACTTCGTTTAAGTCATAAGTACAGCTCTCAAAGTTTAGCGAGTTTATGTAAAACTAATCATCTGGTGGTTTAATTGGCAATGCAGATTCTGACACTGTTGCAGTTTGGAGGGTACACTCTTGTTAGGAATTCTAAGGACCTGTTCCAGAGTTTTGGATTTGATACACAGCCAGTCCTTATCGGACTTATCTTATTTCAGGTAAGAAACTGAAAGCTTGTGGTTTGCCTTTGCACTTTTGACATTAAACTCTGGTAATAGATTTCTGAATAGATCAAGCAAATGATTTGTTTTACCTATTCGATATGCATGTTAATTCTTTATTGGTATTGCAGCATACTGTGATGCCTCTCCAGCATCTAGTGAGCTTTTCCCTTAATCTTGTAAGCCGGGCATTTGAATTCCAGGTAGGCTTCTTATTTTTCGGTGTACGATCATCTAATGTGAAACTCAAGTTTTTTGTAATGAACTAAACCCTTTCGTTTTTTCGATTCTGATATATTGTTTATTTCTCAAAGGCTGACGCTTTTGCCAAGAAGCTTGGATACGCTACACCTCTTAGAGCTGGTCTTATCAAACTGCAGGTAATTTACTTTGGTTTTCCTTGTGCATTTTTTTGAATTATTTTCCATATCTATCGCTTTCATTTTGAATAATATTGAACATTCATGGACTCGAATCGTTTAGCTCATATATTAAAATTCTTGGTTTTTAACAGGAAGAGAATCTCTCAGCTATGAACACTGACCCGTGGTATTCTGCTTACCACTATTCTCATCCTCCCCTAGTCGAAAGACTAGCTGCTATTGACGAAGCCGATAAAAAAACTGACTAAGCAGAAAGTCGTAGTATAAAGCATTTGAACAGTTAGTTTCTATATACTTAAGCTCCAGGTGCTGTTTTATTTAATCATGAAAAAAATTATAATCTTGTTTACTTGCATGTAACAAAGTTGAGTTAGTAAGAGGAAACGGCAGAAATTCCAGGTTCGAACTTCCAATTTTCCTCTGTAGACTTTTAGCATATACGCCTCGTTTTCTTTCTTCTTCTTTTTTCCCGCTGTTGGAGTAGTTAGTATCTATGTTTATCATCATTTGACTGAAATATGTGTGTCTTGTTCATTTGTTTTTTGCTAGTGTTTAACATTTCTCATCATTTTATTACATGTGACACACAGATGATGTAGGTCGTTGTTCGGTTTTTTCGCATTCCTAAAGGAATTTGAGGAGTCAATAGATACCTTCTTTTAATAAAAATTGAAAAACAAAATAAAAAAATTTAGAAACTATCTAGTGCTAGAATTTGTGCATCATGTTTATATTGATATTATTGTCATCTTCATATAGCTTTCGGACATCATTTTTCTTACCTATTAAATGGTTTACAAAATCCATTGTGTGCAAGTGTTAGCTTTCTTGTATCCATTTGTTTTATTTTGATGGATAAAAGTTATTTCAAAGTTGCCACTCTCTTTACTCCCACTATGCATTAATTAATCTATACACCTATCACTATTGATAGGGATATTATTTATAATTTATACCATCAAGGAATATCTTCTGGTGTTTGAGATACTTCAGCTTTCTTGTGACACTATGATTATAATGTATAAATTAGTGGGACAGTCCCGTAAGGAATGGTCCAGCGGTTGGATCAAGTGAGTTTGCGTCAATTGACCCAAGTTTGAATCCCCTTGCCAACAGTTGTTAGGTCGATTTTGTCACATATGGTTACCCTAGATTTACGTTTGTCGTATCAGGTTGCTTCGTTACCAAAAAGAAAAAGAAAGGAAAAAAAATTGTGGGACAAATTGTAGAGATAGTTGGCCACGTTATATCCTCAATGTTGGATTATATATAATATATTGTAATTTTAATTCAATTGTTAGAATAAGAAAAGCACATAACTTGGTAGTGCATGGAAAGTGCCTATTTATTTAATTGATTGTTATGTGGCATTAGATTCTTGAGTTAGTGTTATTTGACCTTCATTAGTTTTAATCATAAACACTTGACCTTCATTAGTTTTAATCATGCTATGTATGTCCTCCACAAAGTTGCATTTCAGTTATGGATTTAAATTTAATGTCTACATTGTGATGACTGATTTCAAAATAATTTTATATAGAGTGAGTGGCTTTGAAATCAATGAAAAATTGAAATTCATTGTAAAATCATTTCATCCAATTGAGTTTAATCTATGTATTTATTATCCTTAAAAGTGTGAAATTAAGCAACAAAGTAACAATGATTATTAGAATGTAAAAATGATTACTCTAATCAAGTTAGGACAAAAAGAAAGCTTTACTAAGGTACCTATTGCCTTCAATAATGATAATCATCAATCACTTTCTAAGTATAC